AAATAAAACACCAAAGCCCCTGGTCCTCCTCTTTTTGGAGTCTGATGTGCCCCTAAGGAAGAGAACTTACATTGTCTGCCAACATGAGGGCACCCGCTTCAATGACGAATTCATAGGACTCTTCGTCTTTCACAACCGCAGCGGTTAAGCCAGCGGCACTGGAGGCTTTTCCACTGGTGTACACGGCTCGGGGGCTGAATTCCTCCACATGCCTGTGGGGTCAGTTGATAAAGTGACTCCACAATTCACAACACAATGTTTGCAAAGCAACATCAGCAGCAGCAGCAACAACATACCAAGAAGAGCTTAAAATGGCTCAAAGTACAACAGTTCTGCAAGAGCTCTGAACCACCACACGTGACATGCTACTGCTGGAAGGGAGGTAAAACGGCCTTTCAGTCACCAGACAAGGACTTCTGCAGAGACTGGCATTTAAAGCCACACATCACTTATACTATGTATGAGGCAAGTAGCCTGTAACAATTTCCAAGAAGGGCAGCGACCAGCAGGGACCAACTTTCCCACAAGACTAAGGAAGACCCAACTAGTCAATGACTGAGGCAGCCTCTGCTCTCCTGTTTCCCCTCCGGGAACACTGTAAGGAGCTGGCATCCCTCTTTTTCACATCACTACTTCAGAGGCCCAAGAGCGAGCAGACCGTTTCACCCTTCCTTGCCAGGATAAAAGAATGAGCCAGACCCCACCTGGAGCTGTTGTTGTGCTCAGAGTGTTGGACATGGACTGGGGAGACTTGGATTCAAATCCCTAGTAAGCCATGAAATTCATTAGGAGGCTTGGGGCTAACCAACTCTCTTAGTCTGATACAGTACCTCACAGGACTCTTGTGAGGATACAGCAGAGAAGGCAGACATAAATGTTGCCTTGAGCTTGCTGAAGGAAATGTGGGATACGGATGTAATTAATTAATAAATGCCTTCTAACACACATTTCCTCAAATTATCTACCAAACCCATTTCCCCCCCTCTTTTCACACTTGTTAATTTGGATTGTACAACGGAGGGCAGGACGCGTATTTTTGACAGATATAGACAATTCAATTAGTTAACATATATGCTTTAGAAACAACTCTGAGATACGTGTTTCCCATTTCTCAGAACATGTCTTCCGTTTCTTTCCATCTGGACGGAGGGACCATTGTGGCCATCATCAACTATTAACCACACAGACACAGCAGCTCATTCGTTACCAATACTGTATCTGTTACACAAAAACAAAACTTGCTTCTTTATCCCTCTACAATTCATCTAACAATCAGTTCAAGAGGTACCAGGCAACAAGAAGCTTAAAGCAATTCCAAGTATCACTGTGAAACTAACTCTACATGCCATCTTTTATGAGTATATGAAAAACCCAGTGACTTTCCCTCAATGAAGTGATACATTTGAAAAGCCTCATGACACATTGGTTAAACTGCAGTACTGCAGCCAAAATTTTGCTCATAATCTGGGTTCAATCCCAGGTAGCCCACTTGAGGTTAACTCAGCTTTCCATCCTCCTGAGGTTGGTAAATTGAGTACCCAGCTTACTGGGGTGGGGTGGGGGTGGGGTGTAATATGTAGCCTGCATAATTAAATTGTAAACCGCCCAGAAAGGGCTTTAAGCACTATGGGCAGTACAGAAGCAGCACACTTTGCTTTGCCTCGCCTCTGTAAATCAATTCAGGATCGGGCAAACATTAAATACACAGAAGCTACTTTATTTTCCACTTGAATTAGCACCCATGTGCACATGGTTATGGTGACTACAGCATTAACTGTGCAAATGTGAGTTAAAAGTACAGGAGGACCACACAAGAGGGACCCCATAGTTCAACGTCAAAATACAAGTTGTGCATACGGGAAGTGCCAGGTTCAATTCTGACATTTCCTGGTAGAAATAACCAAACCTAAACTTTGAAGGCACTGACTCTGTTGCTAGCCAGTGTTGACAAAACTGGAATAAATGGGTTAATACTCTGACCGTATGACCGCTTCTAAAACTTACTTAAGAAACTGACTCTTGGCGGTACTTGGATCTCCAACAATGCAAACATTGATGTCACCACGTAAAGAAGTGCCTTCTGCTGTTGTCTTAGGAACACCACCAAACAGCATAAGAAGAATCCCTCGCTTTACTTCATCATTACCTGCACGACAGGAAGTCACAGTAACCCGTAAGAACTTTCAGAAATGCTTCCATTTAGAGCAAATTTTACACATAAAATGAGGAGAAATACCCTGTTTTCCCGAAAATAAGACCTAACCTGGAAATAGTTTCCTGTGTCAGGACCTGGAAGGAAATGGACCCTCAGAGATATTCGGGGTGGATGGGGTGAGGACAGGATGGCTGGGAGGGGGTCAAGATCCTGCTCCTGGAGGGAGGGAGAGCCCCGATGGCCGCTCCAAGCAAGGGGAGCCACATCAGTGGTCAGAGAATGAAGGGAGCCACGAGGCCATAATGTTTGAGAACTACTGCCCTAATTGAACTGTATCAACCCAATGTATGTCCACAGAAAAGCCTGCAGAATAATAGTTATTTAATTTTACTTCCTGTCTTCCTTCCAGTCTAAGGACCCCTAATGGCTTACATCATCATCTATCTCCAGAACATCACTGAAATTAAACCATGGGCATTAGGCTGGATCCAGACTGTGCAAACAGTCAGTCCCTTTCCACTAATTGCAGGGACTGAAATCAGCAAAAAAGAGAGATTTTCACCAATCCTTTTCTAGTCATGTGTACTGCTTCCCACACTGTTCTGGAAGATCACTCTGAGCATCTTTCCAGGGTTCATGGCCAGTGAGTTGGAAATGGAGGAAATGACAGCCTTTCCATGCATACACCCTTAAGTGACATGAATGCTGTGAACAGTTTTGTTCACAGGAACTCTGCTTGCAACTCGTTAAGTCTAAAAACATACTAAGTCAGATATTATATTTCAAAACAATTCATGTTTAATTGCTTATACTCAAAGATGGTTAACAGTAGGGCCAAAAGAAACTACCTATTTTGAATGATCTGTGAATTAATTGTTTATTCTGGGGTGCAGAGGTTATTAGATACAAATGACAGAAAAATAATCCATATTGTATAAAAGCATTTTTGCAATAACATTAGAAAATAAGAAGAGCCCTGGTGGATCAGGCCAAGGGCCCATCTAGTCCAGCTCCCTGTATCTCACAGGGGCCCCACCAGATGCCTCTGGGAGCATACGAGAGAACTAGATATCTGTCTCCTGATCCCCCTCCCCTGCATCTGGGATTTCACTGTACTGTACCTTCCTTTTAAGCCTGGAGATTACATTATCCCAATCATGGCTTGTAACCTGTGATGGACTTTTCCTCCAGGAATCTGTCCAATCCCCTTTTAAAGACATCTAGGCCAGATGCCATCACCACATCCTGTGACATTCTGTTCTGTTCAAAAATTGATCTTCCAAACAAGGCACACACAATTATAATACTCACTGTACTGTACCTTCCTTTTAAGCCTGGAGATTACATTATCCCAATCATGGCTTGTAACCTGTGATGGACTTTTCCTCCAGGAATCTGTCCAATCCCCTTTTAAAGACATCTAGGCCAGATGCCATCACCACATCCTGTGACATTCTGTTCTGTTCAAAAATTGATCTTCCAAACAAGGCACACACAATTATAATACATATATCTACCTAGAACCCTCACCCCCAGAAAGTAGGCATGCAGCTCTGGAGTAGAATCCTACTTCCTGGGTCTAACACCATGACAAAAAAAGTTATAAACTAACATTAATTACATTTTAATGTGATCTTTCATGGACAAGTTGACTTTGTCAGACAAACAGAAAAAAATGAAATGCCTGATTAAATGGGACTTGTCGGTGAAAGCTCAAATTAAAATATAGTAGTCTTTACGGTGCCCACATGTTTTTATCTTGTTTTGTTTCTTTGGATTTATACCAATATGCTTGTCCAGACTAATATGGCTACCTCTTCTAAAACTACAACTGCTCTGGTACTTCCAGTTCAGATGCACTAAAAAGGGAGAGATGGTATCGGATTCACACTAGATAGAGCATTCAGTTCATTTGAAAGCTTACTCAAAATAATACCAGTCACTGGTGTATGGATCCATTACTAGCTCTTACCATGTATGGTAGGGAAAAGGCTGGTGCAAAGGTTGTGATAAAGATTTTTATCCTGGCTCATTTCAAATACTTTTTCCCACTCCTCTACCGACATCTGGTTTTTAATGCTTTCTGCAGTCTGTTCCTCGTCCCGGAGTTCCTTGCCACCAAACTAGAAATGAAGACAGTGGAGGGAAAGTTGTATGGACTATAAAATAACTTGGAAATACCTTGAGGGAAGTTTTGAGAGAAAGACATGAAGTATGTCACTTAGGAAGACTATTCCCTCTGCGGCAGTCAACAGGACAAATCTTGCAAGAATGAATAAATTCAGGTTTGATTCAAAAAATGTGAGGTAGTAGTAGAATGGAGTGCACCAATACATACTATATGCACAGCTATGTTTCCTCATTAAAACACACACACACACACAAACGAGATAAAAGATAGCTTCTCAGGTAAAAAACTTCTAGCCCAGAATTCTCCTTGTTGTGATTGTTTTTAGACAGGTGAACATCCACAAAAGTCACCCTCCACCTGTACTCTAAAATAGTTTGGTTCATTCTTTTACTTCATTACATTGCTTAGAACAGTAAATGAACCTTGTTTTTGGTTGAATGAACAGTGAGATCATAGCCACACAATGAAAATCAGAACAGAGATAAGATGAAGATAGGGGCACTTGAAATGTACTGTAAATTTATCAAAGGATATTAAGAATTTAGTGGGTCATGGAGACCAAGAAAACTCATAACACACAAAATGTAGAAAAGTAGAACACTTTGGTGACATTTAAAAAAAAGAGAAAGGAAATATTGTTTTGTGGGTTTTTCAGGCTCTCTGGCCATGTTCTGAAGGTTGTTCTGTGCTACTCCTGTCCTCTGAAGATGCCAGCCACAGAGACTGGCGAAATGTTAGGAAGAACAACCTTCAGAACACGGCCAAAGAGCCCAAAAAACCAACAACAACCATTAAATCCCGGCCATGAAAGCCTTCGTGAATACAAAAGAAATACCATTATGGCAAAACTTTCAAGGTAAAAAAATGAAGCGGGGAAAGTATAGGAAGGAGAAGAACTTTTTGGCTGAAGAACCTTGAAAAGGTTGGGTGCAACACAACATCGTTGATGGAAATCTTGTTGCTTGTTGTAGAATGTTGTACTAGAGTAGACCCATCGATTCAGAGGACTTGAGTAATTGGAACTTCTTAATCAGTGGAGAGATTCACTGAACAAGTTTGCTTTGAATCAGTGGGCCTACTCTAGTTGCAACTTACTTCATTTAAGTAAGATGCAACTAAAGTAGCCCTCTTGTATCAAAGAAGCTTATGGAAGAGTTGACTTACCAAATTCCCACTGATTCAATGGGCTTAGTCTACTGCAACTTATTACACTATTCTAGCCAACAGGGTTTCAGCCAGCGTTTACATCTGTCCTGCCCAAAGTAAGGCCACACATGCAAAAGACCAGTCTTCGGTAGGAGAGAAAAAAAAGGCAGGCGGCCCTGGAAGCTCTCTTTATCTTTTCTTTGGCCACAGCTGAGCTGAAACACAGTACTATTGAAGAACGTATATTTGGGAAAGAAATAGCCAAGCCTTAACAAAGGCAGCCTTTATTTAACTGGAGGGAAAAAAACAAAGCAAAAAAAAAAAAAAAAATACAAAGGCAGCCTTTATTTAACTGGAGGAAAAAAAAGCAACAACAACAACAAAAACAAAAAGGAATGAGTTTTCAGTTCAGAATTCTAATGGTCCAAATGAAAGATGGCTCCCTCAACTAAGAAACAAATATTCACACTACAAGCATGTCAAGTTCCATTAAAGAAAAATGCTGTTGCGGATTTACACCAGCATAAATGTAATTGCCCCCTTCATGGATTGCTGCCTTGTCATGGCAAAGGGGCTTGAGTAATTCAGAGAAACTGTATGCTATGCTGTGCAGGGACACCCAAGATGGACAGGTCATAGTAGAGAGTTCTGACTAAACGTGATCCACCTGGAGCAGGAACTGGCAAGCCACTCCAGTATCTTT